TTTTCAGAAGAACTGCTTAATTTGTATGCACAGTTGTTGGAACTGTATATTTGGAAGCCTGTTAGCTATGTAGTAGGCAGGATGTGAAGCAAGGTACCTGATTCTCATGAGCAGTCAGGCAAATCAGGTACACATCTCATTGCATGCCTGACTTCAGAACAAGACCTGTAAAGAGTGCTCAACATTGTGATGATGACTCAGAGTCATGCATGTTTTAATAAAAGCCCTGGGAGACATAATTGCATAGTTAATTCTTAAGTGTTAATAATTTTCCTGTTTTTCTCCTTTAGATAGCAAATTTAAATGTTTTGTTACATGTTAAGGAGCACGGTACCTCAAAACTTATCCTAAATAAAATCTAAATAGGAGGTGTGAGGAAAAAAAGAATATTGTTGGTTTATCTTTTCTGTTCCACTAATGCTACATATAAATTAATTTTCATTTATATTTATTTTGTCCTTTGGTCATCTCCCAACTCTAACCTAGTCCTTGCTGCAGATCTGTAGAACAGGTTTGCAACTTTTGTCTTTTTAGTTTTTTAAGTAGTATGATTCCCATGGGGTTTATTTTCACTCATGTAGCTGAAATGGCACAGTGTTTTGAAAATAATATTTTGGTATTTGATAATGATACTTATATTAATTTTTAAATCCTTAAGTTAGGGGTTTTGTAGTTAAATCATATGCAGTTTGAACCAAAGCAATAATAGCCACTGGCAGAGCATTTGTATATTCCTTGACTTTTAAAACAGTGTTTAAATAAAAGCATTTGCTTTAATAAAGTGCATGGGGTAATACCAAAGGGCTCAGTTGGATAGCATATATACAGTTACTCCAGTAATTTTAGTATACCTAGTATAATTAGAACTTCCTTTCTGTAGTTTTTCAGTTTAGCGTTTAATGTTTGTACAAGTTTAAATCTCTTTGCATTTTAAATTTAAAACATACATTTAACTGTATTTGTAATTAACTATTGCATCTTTTGATTTTTGAAGATTTATTTTAAATTTATTTAGCAGTCTAATTGTAGCTAACTTAGAATGAAACCTGTGTCTAGTTCAGATTAGATATTGATTAAACATTTGGCATGATGGGGAATATAATATGGTTGAAATACTAGGAAATACATATATAGTTTGCTTAGCTGATCAGTTATGGTTTTCAATTTCAGTAAATTTAAAGTTAATTTATCAAAGTTTCAAATAAACTGAGGTGACCTAGAATGTAAGACAGTACAAATCTGAATTTTTCTGCCCTCCCTTCCTCCACTCTCAACTTCACTTGTAGTATATCTTGTGTGGAGTCACACTAGTTATTTTATTTTTATTTGTTTTTACATCAAAAGTAGGTAACACCAGAGGATGAAAGAGCTCACTAATTTCAGTTTAGTGCATACTTTGATCTTTTTTTTTTTTTTTTTAAGCTGATTTGGTTATTTGCCGTTTTGGGGGATTAAACTTTAAAAAATGTTCTTCTTTTCTATATCTGATGTTCTGTGTGCTATTAGTGATGCAGCCAACACGAACGGTTGTCATGTGTAAAACAAGTTTCGATCACCGTGAAAACACCGCCCTGGGAAAGCGTCCATGCTTGATATCGTTTGGTTCATGAACATTAAGTTTCCAGTACAGGTGACCCATAGCTCCAAGTGTTAAATAATTGTATACATTATTCAGTTTTAAAAATAATAATCCATTAATGAGATTGCTAGTTTTTGAAGTTTTACTCACTTTTCTTTTTCCTAGTAGAGGCAGGGTAAAAGGAAATACTTAAGTTTGTATTTGTTTTTTTTTGTAAGGATCTAGTAGATAGAGTCATTGTTATTTATTACTTTTTAATGCAAGGGTAATTGTAAAATCTTAGAAAGAGTAACATCTGTGTAGTGTTCCAACTCTAATGCTTTCATTTGCTTCTTCAGGTAAAATCCCAGATGAAGCCAAAGCCCTTTCTCTATTGGCGCCTGCTCCTGCTATGACAAGCCTGATGCCTGGTGCAGGATTGCTTCCTATACCTACACCAACCCCTTTGACAACAGTAAGTAAAATTCATCCCTGTTTGATTTCTAGTTTTCCTTTATACTTGGTGTAGCCTTTCTGTGTTCAGAGAACAAGAGCTGTCTGATCTGTGGATGTTGTCCTCTTATATGCAAAATCAGTGAGGATTTACCTGTGGTGCCTCTTTTGAAGGTAGATCACAAGACGTCCATGCACTGTCTTTCCTGGGTGTTTCTTTCAGATTCTTGTTTTGCAAAAGAGTGGGTAAATACTGGGTTTGGTTGTGTCCATTTTAATTGTTGTCCCTTCCCT